TCAAAACAAACTAAGTCGGCTTCAGAGCTGGGCGGGTGGCAAAGACATTATCAGCGGGCACAGTATTGTTTCCAGGTGCCATGTTGCTGATCCACGAATTAGAATGTTTCCCTTTCATCCTGTGATCTGCAGCTCTGTGCTGTGAATTAGTCACCATGACAGATTTTCAACTTCCTTTCAACTCATCTTTGGTTGCAAGATTTTTATTTTGTTTTTGTTTTTTAATTAAAAAAAAAAGACAGGGAAAAAAACACAAAACCACGACAGAACCAAATGAAAGAACAAATTAAAAAAGCACTCAGAATATTTGTTACATTATCATCATCATTATTAATTTTTTTCAAGTCACTTCTAAGCCCCACAGTTACAAATAAATTAACAAGACAGGATCAGACCCCGGAAGATTAAAAATTTTTAAAAAAATGAATACTAGGAACTAACTACCTTTGGCAAAGTTATCACACGATTTTTCCACTGCTCCCAGGTCGGCTACAGCAACAGGCCAGTCATGTTGGGGTGGTGTTGGCAAGAACTTGGGGTCTAGTGCAGCATCCTTCATGCAAAGGCCAGCCCATTTGATCCACTCCTCTGGGGCTATCAAATTGACCAACAACCCTCCTGGGCATATAAATGGTATTCCCTTTTCTCATAACCTCAATACTGGTCAGAGTTGATAGAAAGCAACCTGGAGAAGGCAGTTCAGGGAAGGGAGAGACCCTCCACCAGACCTTAAGCATCACCCCAGTCAAGATTTCTTAAGGAGATTCATGTCCCATGTAAAACAAAGCCCAGCTTCAACTTCCTTGGATACAAACGTGCTCTTGCACCACAACTGAATTACAGCTATCCTCCAATTTACCCTGGTGTACAAAGTGCCCATTACATCAGGGCAGAATACTATGTAAGCAAGGCCCACAGAGCAATGTCCAGCCCCTAGTGTGTGTTTTTCCACTTCTTTGTGGACCCAGTCTTCTGTCCTTACCGTGGTTCCATCCTAACCACGTCGTCCTTTTCCAAGTTGACCGAAACAGAATATCCACAGAACCCTAGAAGCTGAACTGAATAGAGCCGATTTCATCGGACCTGGGCTGTCCTGCTGATTTCCCTCTGTGGGGTGAGAGGATGCTGCGCCTGATCCCCACCGCCCCAGACCGACCTGTACGGCACACACCCTTAATAAAGCTTTTCTATTTGGTTTATCATTAAAGTATATGAGGTATATGGCGGGCTATCTCCAAAGAGCCTTGTGGTGGATGTCTTGGCACTGTAAGGAGAGGGAGGGGGTTTAGCCTGCCTCCCCTCCCTTGTGCCCCCCCAACCCTGGGTCGGGCACTGGCACGGAGGCGTGTGAGCAAATATTTGGTTTTACAGCTTTGGTTTTACTTTATTTCCTTCCTCATTCTAAAACTCCTAGGAGTGGGGAGGTCAGCAGAACAAAGAGATGCAACTGTTTTCCAAGAGGAAGGCACAGCATCTTCTAAGTTTTTTTGTTTTTTAAACCAGCCAGTTGAAGAAGTATATGGACTAGAGAGGTACAGATGGTTATGGATTTTGAACTATCACGCCACATAAAATCATTAGCCAAGTTAGAACTAAATATCAGCTAGTTTTCTTCTGGATCAATCAACCTCAACATATCCATCCCCATACCAAGATTAGTTTTACGTTCAAAAGCCTTATATAGTCACCAATCTGGGAGGGAAGGGGAGATAGTGATGTCCCCATGGATTATGTGTAGTTGTAACCTCCCGTATCTCCATTCCTAAAGCTGAAGCTAGACAACTTTGAAGAGATGTGATCTGAAAGAGACGCATCACTTCTACAACCTGCATCTGCGTATTTCCTTTTGTCCCACTGTCATCGCTGGTCAAACATTTGGCTGGTTTTTGAAGGCAAAAGAGGGAGCAGTTACTTGCCACCCCCTTTCAAACCTTTTTCAACTTTCTGAAAAAGCTAATGCTCATCTCCAGGTTGACAGCAATCTAACCTACTTCCCAACATCCTTACTTGCCCTATAAATCTTGACTGTTCCCCTCCATGCCATTCAACCACCACTCAGCTCCATGCATGGAGATAGGGTCATTTTTGGTCTAGAATCAATTTTTTTTTTAAAAAAAACACATTTTGGTTTTTGGTATTTTTTTTTGTTGTTTTTTGTTTAGTTTTTTTCCCCTTTTTATCTTTTTTTTTGTTGCAAACCTTTAGCGTTTGTTTTTTGTCTTTTTCTTAATACAGTAAGAAGCGATAAAGCGGAACATAGAATTTTCTCTATAAAAAAAAATAGATACCCCCCCAAAAAGTAAAAATGAAAGAAAAATAACAAATATCACTAAAACAGTTACATTCCACCTAGAAACACGTTCAGTAGCACATGAGAGAGAGAGAGAGAGAGAGAGAGAGAAAGCGAGAGAAATATTTCTCCCAAATGTTTTTTTTTTCCCCAGATGTCCACCATTATACCATAACTGAAATCTTAAAAGGGCTGAATAAATACTTGGCGGTTCTCTCTCACTCACGCACAGAATGGGATGAAAACTTTTTTTTCAAGTCAGTCTTTTAAACTAGGTGTTTCCTGGTTTTTTTTTTTGTTGGTTCGTTTCTGTTTGGGAAAGTTTCACAGTATTTTTTTCTTTTGTTATCTCAAACCCACCTGAACGTTATAGCACAGCAAAAGCAGGAGATAAAATGAGGTTGAGGGTTTTTGTTTCTGTCCTTTAAGAAAGGTTTCAAAGTCCTTTTGTGTTTGCTTGTTTATCTTTTTTTTTTTTTTTAACTCTGTCCTTTTGTTAGGTTTCTGTTTTCTACCAGATCGCAGTATGCCATGGCTAACTTCCTTCTCTGCAACAGCAAGACTTTGGTTCGCAGGAGTTGAAAAGAAAAGACAAACATTCAAAGAGCCCCCAAAACGTCAACTAACCCGCCCAACACATTTAAAAAAAATAAAAAAATCCCAAACCATCCAGTTAAAACGAAAACAAAGAAGACCAAGAAAAGAAATGTACAAAAGAAGTTTTAAAACAAAAAAATTAAAAAAGTGTTTTGAGAAGCCATTTTTAAAGCTTTCCAGACTTCTGGGAGAAAGTTACAGGATCTTCGGATCTTGCCCTCCCACTTCGGTTGATTTGGTTTATTTATTTATTTGTCTCTTTGCCATTTATAAAATCTTGGCTTCTCAACACAACTTTCCATGAGGTATTTTTTTCAGGACAGAGAAAGATGGTTGAGCCATTTTGTCTTAACCAGAGAAAGTAAAGATTTCCCCTTTATTCCCACATATTTTCATCCTTTCTTCTTCAATTAAAGTTCTTTGTGGTTCTTTGTTTTAGCTTCCTTTATTCGCTTGGTTGGTTCTTTTTGGTTAAAAGTTTTTCTCTCGCCTCCGAGTCTCTGTGATACCCACTTACTGAGGAGATTTTTATCCCTCTTCTGTGGTTTGCTTTTATTTATATTCCCCAGTGGTCTTCATTTTGTTGATTTCTGTAGTGATGTCTATCAATTTTTGGTTTTTTCTGGAAAATGTAAAGAATGCTGAAATTCCCGTTTTTTTTGTTTTGGTTTTTGTCAGGCACTGGAATATGAGTATTTTTTTTCAGAACACAGATATAAAAATAATAATAATAACAATAATAATAATAATAAAAATTACACATCCCCTGTTTTTCAGAAAAGTAACCCCTGATACTAACCCCAGGCAAAACCATTTAAAAAAAAAAAAGCTAAGCTCAATAGAAAAATTAAAGCTGGCAAAGAAAAGGTTCAAACTGATAGGAAAAAAGTACAGATTTAGTGCTGCCCATCCTTAAAAACTTGAAGACTGAGACTTTCAATAATGCCTCTTGTCCTGCAAAGAGTATTTACATTATATACCCTCTGAGTAGCCCAGCTAATATTAACAAAGTAATTCCAGCCAGATGTAATTCATTCCATCCTCGCTGTAGGAGTGGTGGAGCTTTCGAGAGAGACAGAAACAGGCATTGCAATGCCTAGAGTTTGATGCACCAGATATCCCAAGCTTGCAATACATCAATTATCTCAGGAAGGTCATCAGCAAAGAACTTTTGTAAACTGGTTCCCCACCTCCTTCTTACTTCAAGCCCCAGAGAGCTAACATCGGTTTGGGCTGGCAAGTAATCAGAATTTTGTGATCACAAACTCTTTTTGTGGAGTCTGTGACATGGCTGAATAATCTAATAACTCTTTGCAAACAAGAAGAAGCAGAAATGCAAAAAACATTGCAGGATGTCAATCAAGAAACCAGTTTCCGTCGTGGGAACTTGGTGTCTGATTTTCATTATTGCCTTTGAAAATCCTAGCCTTCATTTCTTATAAGAATCCCCATACATGTATAAAGCTTCTTATCTGTTTCATTTAAAAAAAAACAGCAAAAAAGCAGAAATATTTGTTAACCATTTAAAAAATAAAGAAAATATTTATAGGAAGATCCTGAAATTAAATCAATCCATTCTTTTCCTGCCCAACCCCTTCTGGATCCAAGGAAAAGAGAAAGAATAAATAAGAATAAATAAAAGCATTTTGAAAGACATTCGACCAGACACTGAAGATAGAAAAGTCTGTAAAAAGCTTTGGGTGAAGCTAGAACTGGTGATTTTTGGTGTGAGATTTGTATTCCCCTTAAGGATTTTTAAAGGTTTTTTTTTTAAGTATTTTTTTTCTTTTTTTTTACAAAAAAAAAATTATCCCCATTTATTGGTTTCCTTTCTGGTACTGTCCAGGAAACGAGCAGATGAAAAAGATAAATCATTAAAAAAATCAAACAGACCATTGACTGTCACCTTTTGCAGAGGGGAAAAACAAATGAATGCCAAAGGTTTGGGGAATTCTTTTTGGTTTCTTCCTTTTTTTTCCCTTTTTGCTTTGCTTGTTTGCTTTAGGTTATTTTATTTTATTTTATTTTTTGGTTGTTTTTTTTTCGTTTGGCTGTTGCTGACAATTCTTTGTTTGGTTTTGGTGGTTTTGGTTTTTGTTTTTTTTTTTGGTTTCATGTGTCGGTTTGTACGTCCACTCCTGGCTACCCCCACCATGTCAGAAAAGGCAGCGAGGATGCTCCTGAGCCCTCATTCCGTCTTGGCATCCGGTTCAGTGGATCCAGGACCAACTTGCCCCATTGTCTGCGCCATGTCACTGGAGGAGCTGCATGAGGAACAAGAGGAGGAGGAAGAGGAGGAGGAGGAGGAGGAGGTCAAGGTAGGGGACTTGCTAGGCATAGAAGCAGCCACGGCAGCAGCTGCTGATACCAGCCCCACACCTCCTGGGGCAGCACTCAGCAAAGGCAGGCCCGCATGGTTGAGGAAGAGCGGTGAGGTCACGATACTCTGGCTTCCAGTTGTGCCTGCACTGGTACCCAATACCAAGTTACCACTGGCATCAAGGCTGGTAATTGGCAGGCTTCCACCACTGGCCAGTGCTACATAGAGAGAAGAAAACATTGGTTAGGCCACATCTGCAATGCTTTCCTGTCACTGGCCTTGGGGTCAATATATAATTGGCCCAGAGAGACAGAGCCAAGACTGCCCTCCTGAAGGATAATCTTGCAGGAAACCATTCTTACAGCTGATATCCTTGGAGGCTCTTCTCCCACACCAAAAAGACAGCTATAATTGAAATGGCATTTCCCTGTCCCACACAGCTCCACCATCTCTCTCCCCCAACATGATTCACACAGAAGACACATGGTGTGTGAAGACAGGTTGCACAATAAATGATTAGCATATATGATGTGAAAGATGCATGTAATGAAGCGTGATGCCTTCTGGTATATGCAAATTCAAGATGAAATGGAAAAAGACCCAAGGAAGAATGGGAGTAGGTTGTGGGGGACTCCACTGACTTGCTGCACTCTCACACACCTGTACTATGTTTTCACAGCAGCTCACAAGCAATCTCACAGTCTTATTCATTAGGCCAGACCAAGATGTGGGGAAGAGGCATAATTCAATCTGTAACCCTGAAGGTGGGGCAATGGGTTCAGGAAGTGATAAATGCCTCCTTGAAAGAAGAAATGGCGTGCTTTCTCTTGGAGGTCATCTCTTTACCCCACTGTGTTAGACCATTTCTATCTGCATAGTCCCAAACCTTCTCTTCTGGGGGAAGATTTTGGAGAAGGCAGTGGAACTCCAATTGCAAAAGACCTTGGGTAAAGCTGATTATCTGCGTTCTTTTCAGTCAGGATTCATACCAGGGTATGGGATAGAAATGGCATTGGTTGCTCTTGTGGATGATCCTGCCAACACTTGAATGGTGTGAATGTAACTCCCTTTGTCCTGGGTCCCTCAGCTGCTTTTGACATCACTGTTATATTCTTCTGGACTGCCCCCTGGTGGGGGAGAAGCAGTCAAGTCTACGGCCCCATTCACAAGGCTTGGTCCTTACAGTATTTAACCTCTATAAGAAGCCAGTGGGGCAGGCCATCAATCAATTTGGGGTAAGGTATCATCAGTATGTATGGTTGGTCCAGACACATAGGTTCTTTTTGTAACTGATTCTCTATTTTTAAGTGTAAGCCACCCAAAGTTGTTTTGGAATCAGGTGGCCATTATATCAAATAAATTAATAAATAACATGGATGATCCCAATTATATATCTCCACCTGGAGCCAAACAGGAGATGCTGTGGAGGTCCTTATCTGATGTTTGGAGGCTGTAAGGATCTGGATGGCACAGAACAAATTGAGGATGGACCTGGCAAGACAGAATGGCTGTTGTCCAGCAACCATATCATGGCCAGGTATCTCCTCCACTGGCTCTGGAAGAGGTAGTGTTCTCGAAGGAGCAAGCTCATGACTTGGACATGCTCCTGAATTGGCCGCTTCCCCTAAATCAGCAGCTGGAAGCCCTACCCAGGGGTACCTCATCCACTTTGGGCTAGTGTGCTAGTTCAGCCCTTTCTGGAGCAGGAGTTGCTGGCAATGGGTTTACAGGAATACACTTTACCTGGGGCTACACTTGACGACTACCCAGAAACCGCAATTGGTGAAAAATGTAGCAAACCATATGCTTACAGGTGGAAACCAATTAAGCAGAATAACACAATATACTCTTTTATGGATATCATACTAGCTTTCACTAGGTTTCTGAGTACAATTCAAGATATTGGTTTTAACCTAAGCCCTACAATATAATGGCCCAGGGTACTTCCAGGAGCATCCATTCCAGGTTGAGTTTGGCCAGCCCATCCATTATGCTCAAGGAGTCTAGAGTCCTTTCTAGAGTCCCCCAACTCAGGAGGTAAAGGGGATCCTGAAGCAATGCTTCTCTACAGCTTTCCATAGCCTCTGGATCAGTGTTTCTCAACCTTGGCACTTTAAGATGTGTGGACTTCAACTCCTGTTGGCTGGGGAATTCTGGGAGTTGAAGTCCACACATCTTAAAGTTGCCAAGGTTGAGAAATACTGCTCTGGAGTATACCAGCCCTCTGATGCCTGGGTAACCCCAATTTTAGTCACCTCTTAAAAAGTTAAGGTTTCTCTGACAAGCCTTTGGAAGCATGTCTGTGCCTTGTTTTCTATCCAATCATTAGTGGGTTATTTTAAAATCTGACACTTCTTAGAGTTATGATGTTTATGGTTTTTATTGTTTTTATGATTTGATTTGTGAACTGTCTCAAAAGGTATAACTGTGGTGGGATATAAATATAAGAAATAAGTGAACAAATATGCTTTGCCTATAAAAAGTCTGGATTAAGTTCCTTATTATCTTCTTTTAGGAGAACCTCAGATTAAAACGAGATGCAAAAAGAGATGGGCGTAAATATCCTGTTTTTATTATCATGCAGATTGCAGATGCTGGACTTTTACTGATATTGCTTTTAGGCACCAAGTACATTTATAATCCTGTCCCAATTGCTACTTCAGAGAGCTTCAGAACCTGAAGACTGACTGAAATTAAACTTGCTTCCATTCACAAGTGATTATTTGTATTTTAATTCACAAGTTTCTAAGCACACTCATTCACTTAATCCAGAAAGAGTGGGGCTGCCAAACTCTCTGAGTACAAGTAGTTCTATAAATTACTGGTGACAAACGCCATCCTCTGTTTGAGAGGAGAGGGGAGAAAATGCTACTTTTGGAATGATGCCTGCTGCAACTTTTGGCTGTCACCTAAAAACAAATCAAGTTAAAAGAAAAAAAGAAATCTAGAGATTTAATCTACAAATAGTAGAGTAAAACTCCTACCAGTAATCAGTTAAGATTTCTTCAACTGTGTGGCAACCATAGTTGCTTTATTGCCAGACACACAAGCAAATATCTCCCAAGCTTTCTGAGACATGCAGCAATCGTACGCACGTCGTGCACACAACGTACAGTCTCTACAACCTCACATCCATTCCTTTGCACACTTTTTCTCTCACACAAGCAAGCCAGTGGAGTGAATGGCAGCCATGACATCATGGGTTTTCTTCTTTTTTTCACAAACCTTGTATGGTGGCCAGTGGGTTGGTGGCCATTAGCGCTGGGTTTAACCCTGCATTCACCCCTAGCACTGTGCTTCTGCAATCAAACCAAATGCAGGAAGTTAAAGTGGGGGCTTTGTGGTGGAAAAGATGATCGTGCTCTCCTCACCCCCAGCCCCATTTTTCCACTCAGGTGTGTCCAGAAGCGTATCCATAGGATCCAACCTCCAACGGCTGAGTCAGTGTGGATTTTATATCTCTCCCTTCCCTCGGATCAGTTTACTTACCTGCTTATTATACTGTCAATTGCTGAAGTTGCACAGAGATTCACAACAGAAATAAACCCATAAATACAATAAACCCCAACTTAAAACCAGAGATATTAAGAACAGTTAAGAACCCCAAACCTTTTTTTTAAAAGTGGTTTGGGGGCCTTAAGTGAACGCAGACCCCTTGACTCAGCTCCTTAAAGAACTGGGTGTTACAGTGCAGCTCTACCCAGGATCACAGTCCAACCTCCTAAGGAACCTGACCCTCCCGAAGGTTTTCCAGTCTTGCCACTTACCCTGTACTGGGATTCAGGCCTTGCAAGCTGAGAGCTGGATGACCGCTGCTCTGGGGACTGGGATTTGTGCTGTTGCTTGGGGGTGGCGTGACCGAGTTGAGGGTGGTGCCCCCTGCTCCTACAGCTGTCCGACTGGGGGTTAGGGAGCAGACTGTTGGGGACAAGGTAGTAACTGCCCCCAAAACAAGAACAGGAAGTTAAAATGGAGGTTCTTCAGGAGGGGCTTCATGCAGAGAACCCCAAGCTACCTAGTCTGCCTTTATTTAGATAGTAACACCACCCTCCCCACACAGAAGTCAATGGAAGGGAAGGGCATAATGTCTAATATTTATTCAATTTATATCCTGCCCAATGACTTGGCTTGGTTTGGCTACTCAATGTTCCTGAAACTCAGGAGAGGATTTCAAGTGAGACTCGATCATCTCTGACGTTGTGCTGGGATGGGCAATTACACAATCACCAGGGGTGGCTGCAACTGTGAATCGTTGGTCTTAATTCTAGAATAGAATTATGACACAAAACCCAGAATTTGATGCAAAGCATTTGGTGTCCTTTGGTTTGCATTCAACTCGTGTCTTACTTATGGGGAATTATAAAAAACATTAGGCAGTGTTGGTGATGTACTAGGTTCTTGTGGCTATCACTACATCTTGTGCCAGGATATTTGGTGTTCATTATTTCTTGCACGAAGAAAAGTTTCATAGGGAGAAGATGCTGCAGAATGTCTAGACCACTGTTTTTCAAACTTGGGAACTTTAAGGTATGTGGCTGGGGCATTCTGGGAGTTGAAGTCCACACATCTTAAAGTTCCCAAATTTGAAAAACATGGTCTAGACCATCCTGTGCTGGCCAATGAACATCTCATGTTCATCACTTGTAGGGCATTTGCTCTCAGCCCATGGAGGAATATCCCTGAAGCCAGGGTCTTGCAGTGGGTGCAGCAATGGCTCAGGACCAATACGCCCAAGTGGCCCTGGGTTCAGGAATCCAATATGATCAGTCCCTGGTTCTGCTCTCTTACAGTCCAGAGTTCCATCAGTCTCAGAAATCCCTCAACCTTTTGCAGGTCAAAGATCACGATGCTCTTATATTCCTATGCCTAACAACAGATCAATTTTGCACAGTACCAACATGCTCTCATCACTCCACCCCAGTAAATTGTTCTAGGAGGAAGGGAAGGGAAAATAAGGTCCTCCCCAAAAGGGGGAATGTGTACCTGTTGTGCTCAGACTACTGGAAGCCTGGGAGAGGGGCAAACTTGTGCCGGTGCCTGGGCTGGTCACCTGAGGAGATGCAGCACAAAAATACACACAGAGACAAGAACTTGTCACAGACATAATGGATAGAAACATGTAGCAAGCTTTCTCCCTTGTACCACCAGGGGGCAGGAAAGACTTTCAAAAAGTGCTAGTTAGCCTTGTTGAAGGAGGTGATAAGGCAAGAGGGCATCAGTCATAGTGGGCAGCACGCTGATGACATCCAACTGTATCTCTTGACCCCTGGCTGACCAAACAATGTTGCCAACCCTTGTCCCAGTGCCTGAAAACTGTTGGGGTCTGGATGGGGAGGAAGAAGCTTAAATAGTATTCCAGCAAGATCAAGTAGCTGTAGGTTCATGGACCAGCCAGCTCTGAGGACTTTCCAAGTTTAGTTCTCCATGGGGTTGCATTTCCCCAGATGGAACTGGAGTGCAATCTGGGGGTTTACCTGGACTGATAGCTCCTGCTCAAAGAGCAGGTGGCAGCTGTAGCCAGGAAGGCCTTTGCCTATCAGTCCAGGTAAACCCCCAAATTGCATCTTGTGCATCAATTCCACCCTTTTGTGGAATGACAAGCTCTTCTCATAATTTCCCATGCTCTCATCTTAGGTCTGGGCTATGGCAGTAGGGCTGCCTTTGAAGACCACTCAGAACTTACAGCTGGTCCAGAATGCAGCAGCATAAGTAATTATGGGCATGTTTTGGTATGTCCATGTAATACTTGCTATGTGAGCTGCATGGTTACCAGTAGGCTTCCAGATGCAGTTCAAGGTGCTGGTTGTTACCTACAAAGTGCTCCTCTCATAAGATCCAACAGGGTAGGTTTGTTCTGGATCCCACATATTAACCAGTGCCACCTGGTGGGACCCAGGAAGCATGCCTTCTCTGTCACCACACTTGCCCTCTGGAACAGCATTCCCACCAAGGTCCAAACAGCCCTGAGATTGCTGTCCTTCAAAAAAGCCTTGAAGACCAGGATGGGATAGGATGCATCTGCTACGAAGGGGACATTTATGAATTCTGGTGGTTACAGTTTTTCCCCTGGTATGACTGGCTTTTAGTTTTGCTATCTGGAGCTGTTGATTAAGGGGTGGCAGGAAGGAAGACAAGCAGGACTGAGGAGGTTGCTACCATATATAAGAATTATCGAGTGAGAAGGTCAGGAGTATGTGAACACAGCAGGACTGGAGGTGAAGTGAATGTAAATAAAACAGGCAGATAGAATTCTGCAGAAGGATTAGGCAGGTAGGCATTCCTTCAAATGACATATCAAGGAAGGAAGATGGGCAATTATGTGACATGTGGAGGTAGGTCAGATACAGTCAGATATATATGATCCATCCAGGGTGTAGAACAAGGGCAAAGAAAGGGTACGGGAAATGCAAAACAAGATTATAGCAGGCAAAAAGAATGTAAGACGTGTCCCTCAAGGGAATTTTGCAAATGTCCAGAGACGTAGCATGGGAAAGCCACAGGTGAGGTCAACTGAGACAGATCGTCACGTATGAGAGAAGGGTTGGAATTTACCATGTGAGGGCTGAAGCCAGGAGGCTTGCCCTGAGCAGGCAATATGGGAGCAGAGCTGCAAGGGTTGATCCGTTTCTCCTTCTGGCGGCGGTTGCAGAACCAGACACGAATCACTTCCTTCTCCATGTTCAGTTGTTCGGCAATAAGTAGGATCTCCTCTGAGGTAGGCTTCTGGTTCTGTCGGGGGATACAGAAGTATAAGAATAACATCCATTCCTAGGGATAAGTGAACACCTGAAGGACAGGGAACCATGCGGGTAATTCTTTTATACTCTGAAAAATGGCTAAAATTGACCTAAATCAATTTTAAATTGCACACTTTAGTGGAAGTATTAAAGAAAGCAGCACATGTGAAAACTTTACCTAAGCTTCTTCTCCATTGCATGGCATAACGTATGTTAATTTTGGGAGGGAAGGGATGAGGGAAGTAGCGTTGCTTTGTAGGGAATTCCTTACCGCTAGAAAACTTTTTTCCAATGCAAAGCGGACATTGGTCTCAATGCTGGTCCGTTTCTTGCGACGTCGGCCTGGCAGCCCATCAAAACCAAGGTTAGGGCTGCTCAGCTGGTTGGGGCTGGGAAGCGTGGAGTCCACAGACATTGTCTCTGTAACATGCCAAGGATGAACATTTATTCACCTCTTGAGTAACGCTCATGAGGTACGTCTACTATACAGCTCGACCCCTTCTCTTTCTATCTATCTCTTTTCAGATGCCTCATTTCCTCAAACTTGAACATCTCCAGAAATGGCATCACCTTTCTCTTCCACTTGATTGTAACTATGTATAACTGCATCCTCTGTCAATGGAGCAAACAAGAAAAAGTTTCTCATTGAAGGGTAGCGTACTCATCATGGTGCCATAAAGCCCACCACTCAGTCCCACGTGGATTGTTTGACCCTATCTTCATTCTGTCAGCCTCAAACCATGAAGGATGTTGCTTGGCCCACACATCATGCTACGCCATGGTTTCTGGATGAGCTACAATTAGTTGGCTTCACACAGCATGCTAAGCTTGTTTACGTGGGTTACCAAATGTGGGAAAGCCCAAACTAAAAAAATGATGTGATAGCTTATATATGGTTCTTCCCTGTTACCTTCACTGCAATTCTTAGGATAACCTCCTTGGCGTCTCTTAGTCTCTCGTTTCTCCTCTCCACCACCAGTACCTCCAAAACCTCTCTCTTCTTTCCCTCTCTGGCGTTTTCAACAAGCCTTCACTCCCTCCCAGGTGGGCCATCCTGAACAGGATTCAGCTTTATCACACTTGGCTGTCTTTCCTTACCCGCATCATTCAGCCACTTCTCCAGAAGAGGTTTGAGTTTACACATGTTCTTGAAGCTGAGGTTCAGTGCCTCAAAGCGTGAGATGGTGGTTTGGCTGAAGTCATTCCCATAAAGCTTCCCCATGGCCAGCCCCACATCACCCTGTGGAGGATGGAGGGAAGAAAAGGGAGAGAAGCAATTACTGAGAGTATGCCAAGGCTGTGTGTTCCACAGTTCCCTGCAAATATAGAATTATAGACTGAGCAAAACTGTTGAGGGTTTTAGCATTCACATCATCTATTTTTTAGCATTTCAGATTCCTCATGTACACTTTAATGTAGACCATGGAGAATCAGCCTCTGCCCCCCATAGATTTAAAAGGATAAAACCCCTACATTCCAGACATTACAAGTTATCCAGTGTAATGCAAGCTGCATTACAAAACACTCTGGAGCAGTGTTGCTCAACCTTGGCCACTTTAAGATGTGTGGACTACAACTCCCAGAATTGAAGTCCACTCGTCTTAAATTTGCCAAGATTGAGAAACACTGCTCCGGAGGATGCAACTTCAAATTTATACTAATGAGCATAAAAAAGGAAACAGCTTTCCTCCACTTACATTCTTCATATTACATACATGTCACTCTTTACAGCAAACAAGTTTTCTCACTGTTTAAACCATCTCCATTTTTCCCCTAGTGGACTGTCTGCTTTTGGTTTCATTAAAACAGTGCTTTTTAACTGGAAGAAGAATACAAATGCCTTTTTTTTTTTTAGTTTCAACCTGAAGAACTACTTCAAAGAGGGGACAGAAGCTTGCTTGTAGGTATCACAAATGCCCAGGATTCTGCACAGCCCATTTCACTGTAGAGCTTGTTCCTCACTCTAGTCCACAATTAGATGCTGGGGCAGAACTGGTATAGGTGACACAAACATGGAGAAGATGCAAAGGAGAGCAGCTTAGATGGCAGAGACTTGACTAAGTTTCCTTGTGTCCAGGAGGTCAGCTATTACTGACTCTTTCTCCATGAAGAGTAGGAACAGAATCAAGGTGCACCTGACCTCATTCAGGGATTTTAAAGGGAAGGAACAAGAGTACAAAAAAATTCAAAGTGCTCCTTTGTAACAATGGTGTGTTCTTTCCGGAATCAGTTTGGCTCTCAGTTCCAGTTGCTGGAGGACAACTGGAAGAATACGGTTGCAATTATACTTTGCTTCCCTGAAATATTTGATGGATGTAAAGCTAGAAAAGACAGGACTTTGGTCTTGTCCAGCATGATTTTCTTACATTCCTATGTTATGTAAGAGCAAGTAGTAGTTTCCCTGTTTTGATGATATTATCAGGTAGCCAAATCCAGTTGGCTTTGTTGTGGTGTTATCACACTCGGTGATTTTGATTGGCTTGGGTTTCATACCCAGGAAGAAGGTAACATACATTGTTATGGTTCCAAAGAAATAAGCAACTTCACACCATTTTCACTCCACACATAACTGTTCTTCTTTCATGAGGGAAAACAACATCTTACTCTTCCTAGTCTGAACCAAGCATTCTGATACATACCTGTGTGAAGCCCAGTTTGATGCGCCGCTGCTTGAAGGTGCGGGCAAACTGCTCCAGCTCCTCCAGGTCACTGGGCTCCTCGGGGTGTGAAGGGGTCTCCAGGCATTTGGGCGGCTGTGAGTGAGTGAGGTGGGACTCGGGGAGGCCAGGCCGAGTCACTTGCTGGGGGATGGGAAGAAATCAGAGAAATGGGAATCCAAGAGACACAGAAGGACCAAACGCAAGTCCAGGCAAACTGTATCACCAAACTTAAGTGGAACAATCTAATAATCTCACTACTCATTGTTTAATTAATAGCTAATCCTATGCCTGGGCCAAGATGGGAAGCCCTTCCTACCAGAGCTTTCATTAGCTGCAAAAGCTATTTCCTTCTTTCAGTGTTTAGGGCAGTGTTTCTCAACCTTGGGAGTTTGAAGACGTGTGGAGTTCAACTCCCAGAATTCCCTAGCCAGCCTTGCTGGCTGGGGAATTCTGGGAGTTGAAGTTTACACGTCTTCAAGTTGCCAAGGTTGAGAAACACTGGTGAAGAGGCTTCTGGATTAAACCGTACCAATGCAAATTGCAGAGAAAGGCCTGAACGGCTGAACATTCACTCATCTTTCATTAGCTGCAAAAGCCACTTCCTTCTTTCAGTGTTTAGGGCAGTGTTTCTCAACCTTGGGAGCTGGGTTTAGAGGGTTAGGAATGGAGGTATTTGCTCACTGAGATTCAGGGCTCAAATTATCACAACTGAATTTATTAGTAGAGGAAAAAAACCAGTATAATCAAATTTTTTAAAAAAGAAAAAAAGGAATGAAGGCATAAGACAAAAAATGAAATATTTGCACGGTATTTCTTTCTTTCTTTACCTCCCTGAACATTTTACCCAGAGGACCCCTCCTTCCTTGCTCACCTGTGCTGGGAGTCCTGCACGAGGCTGGTTCGGCAGGAGGCTCCCTGGATTTTGCTGAGGTAGCTGAAATAGATTTGGTGTCGGAAGCAGCCCTACAGGGAAAAGAGGGAGGAAACGTCTCAGCTTAGCTCTGAAGAGGACCAGTGTACTCTTGTCCTTTCTGTGCAAAGTTACAGTCCTGTTTAATTAATTGGTAAGCAGCAATACCTGTAACAAGCTACAAGGGCATCAAAATGACATGTGCATCATGACGTCATCACACCAATGCCACAGTTAAGTGACATAAATTATTTTAAAAATGGCTGGCTGGGAAAATTGATTCCCATGCTCTGTCATGCCTTCCAAGAAGAATGGAAGTAGAAAATGCCCCAGATCTGGGAAGACAATTGCAATGAGAGAGAAGTGACTGAGTGAGGTTAATAGTGGCCTGTCTGAAAATCCTTCTTCTGGAAGCAGTCCTTGGTGACCTACACATCCCATCACCCCATCCTTCCTTAACCTACCAACGTCCAGACGTCTTGTACCACAACTCCCCCATCGCTTCTGGCTAGCAGGCAGGCTGGAGATCCTAGCAATTAATTCTAGAACATCTGGGGGGAAGGCTGCCCCATACCTTCCGGTAAAATCTTCTCACCTTGCTGCCCCTGCTGGGCCTGTGGCAGCAGGAACTGTGCAGGGGGCTGGAGGTGGTGCCCTGGGACAAGGACTAACTGCTGGAGCTGCAGCAGCTGCTGGATATCCTACAGGAGAAAGAATCAGGAGAAACAGGGCGGATACATCTCTGCACAGCACAAAGACACCCAACCTTTTGATGAGGTTGAACTTCTTTAGAGCATCCTGGGAATCATACTTGCCCTGAGAGCACTAGCGCTTTTCTTCCACAGAACTGTGGCTCTGGGCATCCCAAGAAGCGATGACTATGTGACCAGTTTCAGTGGACAATGCAGGCAGGCCCGTGCCTCAGGCCATTGTAGAACAAGCCGGTTTTAACTTTGAAACAACCCTCCAGGAGCGATGGCTCTCCCTTCCACGGGGAGGTGACCTAGCAATGCAGAGACCTGTGTGGCCAGCCCTGGAAGCTCCCTGTTTCATGCACAAGCCCTTACCTGTGCCGTGAGCTGGATTGGTTGGGACAAGGCCAGCTGGGGCGTCTGGGGCTGGCTCTGTGGTGCTGGCAGTTCAGCCCCAGGTTGCTGAGAGGCGGCGGCGGCAGCAGCAGCATTAGACTGCTGCACAGCAGCTGCCAAAAGCTGTGCTTGTGCCTGCTGCAGGAGCAGCTGCTGTTGGGCGGGCATCAGGGCAGTGAGCTGTATGGGAGAGGGCAAGAAGAGGGCAGCAGGGCGGGTAGCAAGCAGGAGGCAGAGAGACCATCCCCAAACAAAGAATAAATGGTAGGAAGGAAGGAAGGAAGGAAGGAAGGAAGGAAGGAAGGAAGGAAGGAAGGAAGGAAGGAAGGAAGGAAGGAA